GCATGATGCTACAGTTTGCATGAATGCTCACGTAACACGTGCTTTCGGTCGTGTAGTATGAACGGACATCATCGGAACTCCACGCAGCTCCCGCACTACTCTCCATTGGAAATTAATGAATGAATGACAGGTCTGTCGCTTGTCGGAGATAGTGGAAAGCCGGCTTGAAACGCCAGTATGACGAGGATCGTTTTCATTTTAAAACATAAACGCACCAGTGTAAATGTAGCCTTACATCTAAGGGGGCTGGGACGCATTCGCACTACAGCCTCACGTGTGTGCCACATCTCTGAGTGTAACCGGTGTAAACTAGTAGGTGTGTTCGACTTGACGCGAACTGACTGTGCAGACCGATCGTTGTATTACAGCACCACGAGAGCTAAAGAGAGCAGACTGCTCTGTGCGCTTTTGAATCGCTCTCGCGGATGTCAAACACTGATCGATCCGCGCCGCACCTCTTCTAGTCGAACACACCGGCTAGTGCTGCAGGCTTATTGGCTCACTGACGCTGATAAAATTAACCCCTTAGGTATTGAAATTTGGTACCGAACGACGAGACGTTTTTCGATACTCGATGGTATCGAGGCATTTCGGTCGGTGCCTAAAAAGTATCAAACTCGATACCCAGCCCTACATACAGGCTATTCTCACTCATATGGGAGTTACAAATATGGCGTCTCGAAACCTAGTGAGCTGCCTACTAAGTATTTTTGCTGTTTAAATAGGCACTTCAGTAGGATTTGTGACAGTACCTACAAAGTCTAAAATTGCTATAGCTCAACAGGTTGACACACCATGGGCTAATTTCCAGAAATGGGGTCTAAGTACTGTATTTTCTGGAATATACGTCACATTTTTTTCATCTGAAATGTATTCCTTATATGTATATTAACTTTCAAAAAGACTAATATAATAGTTAATGTCAAGATTAGAATGCAAAAGCAAAATGGCACACACATTTGGATTTGTGCCCAATGACAGACGTAGTGGAGTGAGGTTTCACTCTAATTTTGTTTAGGTTTGGTGATTATAATAAATGCAGTTTATAATGAATGCTATAATAATTTATTATTGTGTCGAACTTAAATTTTTTATTTCTGTTCTGTTCTCAATACCGTTAGATTTGCTCATGTTTCGTGGTCTTTGGAATGGATTTGCTGTGGAGTGAGAGGAAATAAAATGCTTGTTTATAGCGTTTAAATTTGCTAACGTTTCTTGGTTCTTAGAAATTATTTGCTGTAAAGTGAGGGGAAAAAATACATGTTTTTTTGTTTATAATGTTTGTACATTTTTTTTTATTATTATTATCATTATCATTTTTTATTTACCAGTATTTTACATTATTTCTGAAAGTAATAACAGAATGTGATATATACACACACTGATACAACTTAGCTGGGTTTTTTTTTCTTTTTCGGTGCAACATATATTTAGGTGCGACTTATTTTCCAGAAAAAAACAGTAGGCAGCTCACTAGGTTATGAGACACTGTGCTTAATCTGCCCAGAAACTGCTTGAGCAGCTTACTTTCTTTTGAGAAACCATGTCTATGAAGCCCCAAAATTCTGTAAACTGCAAGGTCTTGAAACACTTCTGCTAAATGCATAAATGTTAACCTCAAACATGCTGTCCAAGTGGGCAGCTTAAAAGATTTTGAAAGGTTTTTTTTATGTTCAAAAATTATGTCTAAGGAGGCAGCTCACTGGGTATTGACACAGTCTCTCTATTTCTCTTGTGTTTACATTATCTCTTTCTATCTCACAGTCACTTACCCTGGACACTTTAAACTCATAAGTATCTATTCCAAGACACATTTACCACAGAGGAGTCTGATTCAGTCAGACAGCTCTGAGTGTGTGTAATGAAACTAGTTTGGTATTGACTGTGCAGATGTGTAATAAGACAGTGTTGGGAGCATGCTTGCATATATATTAAAATTAAGCCTGGGGTTTAGACTGTGCTGCACATATCTAAAAATGTCACAGCTTACATTTTTCCGACCTCATCATTCTTACTGCAATCATTACTCATGTTTCTCGCTCTCACCATCGTTCTCAGTCTCTTGCATTCCACAAGGAAAGGTGCTTAACAGCCTCCTGCACATGACTTAAAACATGCAAAACATCTAAAACGTGTATAAACCCACAATCCTCAGAGCAAATCTTAACACTACTTTGGAAACCATGAGCTTCCAAGTGAGTGATCCGGTCCAAAGATGGCTTTTCCAAACACCTCTTGAGATTCACAGAATTCTCTCTCTCTTTCAAGCATTACACACTGCTTTGCTCTTGCTCATTTCATACAATTTTCCAGCAAATAAAGACATGCTTACTAGAAGCTTTGAAAAGATTTCAAATGGTCTTAGGACCACTTACTGAGTTGCTCTTTCCATCTGAAAGGGAGAAAGAGGGCTCTTTCAACTTCAGACGAGGGGGCTTTGAGAGTGTCCCACTCTGCTCACTGTCCCCTGATACGGAAACACACCAGGGAGGAGAAGACTCTGTAGAGCGACACCGAGACCAAAGCAACCTAATCCATATAAACAGGGCTGAAATGACACTGATAAGATTCTGCTTGTGGGCTTACTGGGTTGCTTATTAAATTAATACTCTGAAGTCATGTACAATGATAAGTTTTATAAAGGGATATTACGCTTTTATTCTTTCAACATTGACAGTTTAATCAACGGAGTGAAATGTCTATAGGGAATGAGTTGTTTCAGTGATGAAAAAAAGTCAGTTCCCAAATAGTAACTGGGAATTTTGTGATTATTATTTTCAATATGTTTGATTATTTATTAAACAATGGTGACTTTTATCACACAGCTGTTGCTGCTTTTAAAAAAGCAAGTTTCTCAATGCTGTGCATTAATGTGTTTTTACCATGGTAAAAAAAAAAATCAAAATTTTATCATCATTTCCTCAATTCATTCCAATCATACATTACTTAATTTCTTCTGTGAAACACAAAAAAATGCTATTTATAAAAATGTCTCAGTGTTTTTGTACATGCAATGAAAGTCAATAGGGTCCAATTTCATCTGGGCCAGAAAGTTCTTCAAAATATCTTCTTTTGTGTTGCACAGAAAAAATGTCATACAGGTTTGGAATGACATGAAGCAGAGTAAGCTAAAAATAAAACAATCATCCACAGGTGTGGACGTTTGAACATGGAGTTTCTTTCATGGAGAAACAGCTAAATCTACCAGATGACTCTATGAATCTCTGTTCTGTAAGATGTGAGGAGAAAACAAAACACCTTGAGGTTGTGCTATCAAATAAAGCTCAAATGGTTACATGCCTCTGGCTTTAAAAGGCTGTTTCACACAAACCCTCTGGCTTATACACACACAGTGTCTGCCTGACAGGAGCGGATTAGAAAAAAAGTGCTTCCAAAACATGCTGATGATGGATGAAGGAGAGTTTCAAGTCTTTACAAACACAGGGGCTCAGTGTTTAGCCTTGTGAATGGCGTGATAGCTCTGAGTGCTTTATATATGAAAAGCCATGTTTCTGAATGACAGAACCTAGTGATGCCATTAGTGATGCTTTAAACTAATGCATAATCACTTGCACAAAACACACATGCTAACACACAAAATATGCAACCATAAACGCACCAAACTCATAAATATGTTTCCTGTGAACATCAAAACGAGAGCCTCTCCTGATGCTATGCTAGTTGTAGGGAACAGCTAAGCTAACTAGCAATGTTTTGAGCCTTCCTACCTCCACCGCCATTGCGTGTTTCATTGTTCCTTACATTAATATTGAATACATGCCTGCAGCACTGGCCAAGCACCCTGAGGGACATCGTAAGAGAAGAACCAGAATCCATCTCTTTACATTGTGGTCTTGACTCTTGAACTAACAGGATGGACGACAAGATGCAATAGTCAGGCTCTCTTGCTGGCTAACTACACCAGTATGTTGAAATACCAACAATTCATGGCTACATCTCAAGCAATGTTTGCACAGAACACAGTGTTGTTGTAGCGTGGCACAACAAGGTCAGGGTTTTGATTGCCAAGGGAAAAGAAGTCGTCTGCCTAATGAGTACTCTCCTGAAAAAAACATGTTAAACCAGCCTGAGTTGGTTTGCTGGTCTTCTTGCCTGGTCAAGGTGGTCTGTTGGCTGATTTTTAAAGGGTTTTTGGCACTTTCCAGCAAGTCAGGCTGGGAGACCAGCTGTCCACCCAGCTAAGCACCAGCTTGACCAGACTGGGAGACTGGCTACACCAGAGGTGTATAATCCTGCACCTGAAGGGTCACTGTACTGCAGTTTTTAGCTCAAAGCCTAATTAAACACACCTGAAGCAGCTAATAAAGGTCTTCAGGATTACTACAAACTTCCAAGAAAGTGTGTTGGCCAGTTTGGAGCTAAACTGCAGGGACATTAACACTCCAGGAACAGGACTGGGCATCCCTTGGCCTAGAGCGGGGAGGCCAACGTCGGCCCTGGAGAGCCACAGTCCTGCAGAGTTTTGCTCCAACCTTGATAAAAACTCACCTGCCTGTAGCTTTCAACTAACACTTAGACCATTATTAGCTTGTTCAGGTGTGTTTGATTACGGCTAGAGTGAAACTCTGCAGGACTGTGGCTCTCCAGGACCGTCATTGGCCATCCCTGGCGTAGACTAGCTGAAAATCAGCATGACCAGGCTGGAAGACCAGTTGAAGACCAGCTTGACCAGGCTCGAAGACCAGCAAAAAAGCTTAGAACGATTTTTATTTTTTTTAGCAAGGTATATGTAATGCAAATTTTAATTAGATCGACACCATGAGCTTATCCCCATGGAGCAATTTGGGGTTAATGCCTTGCTCGTGGGTAAAATGATGATGGAATTGAACAAGCAAGCTTCAGGTTTCTGAGCCATAACCACTATACCAACACAACCCAATTCAAGCGAGTTTTAAAAAATCTGCAAACTCTATTTCAAGCACGATCTTTAAGTATCAAACAATTATTCAGGTATAAATCTAGAGAAAATGTATACTTACGATCTAGACCATTGATGTAGCGCATGGTGATTTCACAGTGGCCCCACACCGCACTGACGATGGGGTACAGCTTTTTGCCCTTAAGACCTCTGAAGGCCACTCCGAGGTACTGTCCGTCCACCATGAAGCTCAATGTGCCCTCATCCATGTCCAGCACTACTATCAAGGCATCTGGCAGCACAAAGGCCTCCTCTGGCTCCAGGAAGCTTGGGTATGTGGGTGCAGAAGAGACCGGCCGGTTCTTACTGTTATGGTAGAGCTTGTTTCGTCCCAGGTCCCAGCCCCAGGACTCGCTATCACTGCCAACTAAAGAAGTGTAACCCACTGAGTGCAAAGGGGCATCTGGCATGGCCACACCCACCACCGCATGTGTGCCCCGTTGCCTAGCAGGCCAATGGATCCTCCAAACATGGAGTCCTCGTGTGTATCCCACCCGTCCACGAATGCCATCGGTACTCTGGGCAACAGGGTGCCGATGGAAGGTGAGTTTGTCATCGTCCTTGATGAAGATATTAAGCGAGCGGTCGTCCGGGTTCCAGGCATGTCGAAGCTGCTGCTCATACGGAGCAGGGGGCATGTCCAGGAGTAGGTCCAGCCGGGCTGGCTTGAAGAAATCTGGCCCTCTCAGTTCCCTCCTCAGGGGCCTGTAGGATGGCTCTCCGCGCACGTCTACGGACTTGATGCTCCCCGAGATCTTCTGGCCCATGGCTTGGCTGGTTGGATAGGGGTAGGGAGGAGGAGAGAGGGAAGGGGTGGCGCAACACAGGGGCTGGGCTTCTGGGGTCCGCCGTTACCTCATCAAAGCACCAAGACGACAGCCTGAGGCCCCCAAACTCACGTCAGCGTCTGGCAGTGGCGAAAGTGCCAGCCTTACTGAAGCCCTAGGAGAAAACACACCAAAATACGTCATTAGAACAGCAATTTTACACAGATCAAAGAGTCTGCGGGCTGGTTTTATGAGTGCATCTAGAACTACTAAGTGTGAATCTCAATGGTGTTAGGGATAAAAACGAGAACAGAAATAAAGGAAGAACATAAACAAGAAGATGAGCAGAAAGAGAGGATCACTGTCAACCACAGCCTGACAGCATGTGAGAGTCTGCCATGGGGAAGGATGTAATAATGAATGCCTCAGGTGAGAACGAGACACCTTCTGTATGACATACAGAAACACTGAACACACATATATTCACACGACAAGACACATCACCTCTAGCTCAAAAACAGCCCAGCTTATGTCAACACAGAGCAATACAGACCCACACATATTGCATTTTAAAAAATCGTATAAATGGTATTCATTCAAAAGAGCTATAGCCACTTCAAACAGTTTGAAACTCTGACATTTTAATAAGGAAATATATAGATTTAATGCAATAAATAAATAGAAAAATAAATAAATAGCTTGAAGAAAATTGGAGCCATGCTTGTTTATGCAAAACCTTCTGCCACAATGTTAAGGTGTGGGTGACTATCAGAGCATTGCTAGGATATCTTGAGTGATTTTTACAGCGTTATTTTACAGTTGCTAGGGTCTTCTGGGTGATGGCAATCAGGCTCAAGTCAAAAGAGTCCAAAAAAATCCCTATGATATTCTCATCTCTAAATATGGCTTGGGAGTTCAATGTCTCCACCAATGTAAGATTATTTTGATTGTTAGTCTGATTGCCTAAAAAAGTACTTATCAGTCTCAGATCATTGAAATGCAAATTTTCAGGCTTCATTGGTGTCTGTAACACAAATGGCACGGGATAAGTTACATGCATAATTTGTATGGATGCTCCGATCGATCGGCTGGAGATCGGTATTAGCCAATAATCACATTTTATGACTCGATCGGTACTCACTACACTTGGCCGATCTCATGAACCGATCGCAATTTGATGATGTCAACGCATGACGACGTACATGATGCGTGGGGACATAAATGATTTGGCGCCACAGTCATGTCATCACCGGTGTGTATGTTTTCGTGTATGTTTTGCATGATGATATGATGAATGGATGGTTCATTTTTAACAGCAGATTCAGTGACATTAGAGAGCTGATCTGCGCCTCACTGCACACGTCTGCGACGCATTACGGCTCCACGGGAACCGGAGCTGATTGCGGCCGCTCTAGTCAATGCTTGTGTTTATCAGCCAGCCACGGCACGTTTCTGAAGCGGCTCTCCGCGCTGCTTGGCTAAAAATAGTCTTTTGTGAGTTGTCACAGCGTGGAGGACGGAACAAAACCTAATCGGAGCCGCAAGGGATAACGGTAACATAACACGCTGATCGTGGGCTGCTTTTAAATGAACATTTATTTATAAAACAAAATATCTTCTTTGGCCATATTAGCCTACTCAATAGCATTAACACAGGCTTTACTCCTTTCAAACTTTATCTGGAATGTCACCGTTTCTGTCACTGCAACTTCCCGATCAGCGAACGAACACACACACACACACACACGAAATCGTCTGCCTCATGAAAAAAAAAAAAAGTATTTAAAAAAAAAAAAAATTTGTGTTAATATTTGCATCATTTATGATTTATTTTATCCACCGGTGACCCACCCGCAAATAATCAGAATGGCTGTACACAAAGCAGCGCTGAGCTCACAAATGCTGCTTTATCAGGCATATAACATGCAAGATGAAATGAAAATGACATCGAACATTTTCTAAAGATAGTCTTCCTTCAGAAATACAGTGATATAAAAACAACCACGCCTCGTTTTGATTTTTAAACGTGCAGTACGTGCTCATATTTATTCAACGAAGCCTTTTGGAAAATCGGTCAGTTTTGATATTGTGGCGAGCGCCACAAATAAATAAATGTATGAGAAACACATCCCACAGCACAACCACCTGAGCTCAACTTCAGTCTACTCATCATCACCTTAACTTAAACTGCGTTTGTAGCCAGCGCCATAGCCAGACTGATAAACAAACACAGACCGGAAGTTAACTTCGGGCCAGGCGCGTGCGCCCAATGAAACCGTCTATATAAAGCTTGAAACATCAGAGTCGGCATCGGTATCGGCCGATCACCATGACAAGAAATCGGTACTCCGTATCGGCTGCAAAAATCCTGATCGGAGCATCCCTAATAATTTGTGCCTTAATACTGCCTAAATAACCCTAAGTATGAGTATCAGCAATAGAAAAAATGGAAGTCTAAATACAGCATTATTTATTCCTAGGTTCCTGCGAGAAAGTGTGAGAGAAGGAAAAAGAGAGAACAAAGGAGAGAAATTCAGTTCGCATCAGTCTCAATGTCACAAAAATACCTACACATTAAAAGCCCATTTTAGAGTGTGCTGGAGATGCGATACTGATGTATAAAAATGCTAGCAGGAACTTCCTGCTACAATAAGTGATGCATGGTCTTTTCCTGGAATGAGAAAGTCTCATACCATGAATGAGCTCTACAAAAAAGACAGTTAGGGGATGTTTACATAAAATGTGTTCTTGAGTCTGTTGCATCTGTGCTATTTGTGAAGTATCTAACCATATCTAACCGTCGCAAAGCATCCGTTTCTTCAGTGCCATGAGTGCAGTGTTTCAAAGAAGATGTCAAGTTCAATGTTTAAAAACAAAGATGTTCAATTTGTAAAAACAAAGCATAGTGATAAACAGCAGTATTTAGCCGTTTACATAAAATATCAACATTTCACTACAAAAACGACAAAATGCAGCACAGGGAATTTCAGGAATTTAACTGAGTGTAATTCAAATAAACCAGTGAATAGTTTTTCCACTTCATTAATGTGAACCTTTAAACAAACTGACTCACTAAATAAATCTAGTAAGTGATAGAAGAGTGTGTTTGATCATTAGCTGATACAAAGCAACACAAAACAGCATTGCGTCATGTTAGACTACTACTTTTCAGAGTACAGCTCATTATTAGACAAGCTATAATACTTTAAAAACAGCTAAGCTTCGCTACTAAAGTATGTAGGCGAGTTAGAAGTGTTGCTTCTTTTAGTTTCTCCATAGCAGTGCCGGACAACATATTCACACTCTGTCAGACGAACAGTCATCAAGCACGTTGGTCACCAACACAAAGGAAAAAGGTCACACATACTGTACATGCACACAAACACACCTCAGACAGTCTCAACACATTAAGGTCACAAAGAAAGAGAGACAGGAAAGAGAGAGCTGAATTCAGACGACAGGAAGGAGGGTAGCCAGACGGCCAGACAGTCAGAGCCTGGAATCCTGGGTAAGTGTTACCAATATTAAAGGAAAAATAAATGAGGTCATGAAAGAAGTAGGATAGAATGTGAATGTGTATGTGTGAGAGAGAGAGAATGAATGAAAAAGAGAGAGGTTGCTGCCCTAACATGCCACTCACAGCTATCATAACGTGTGCTAGGAGTCGAGGTGTTAGGTTTTCCGTATCGTATTTCAGAGCTGGAGAATCTCCCGCGACAGGGCACAAAGGGTTTCACAGTCTTGCCGCCGTGCAGAAGCACAGTAATGCGTTTCATTCAGGTTGTGTTTGGTTCAGAGCGCACACATCAGTTTAACTAGCATTCCCTCACTCAAACCGCTGTAGTCACTAATAACTGTAATAAACACTGACACAAACATAATTACGCCGTTAGTCTGGGAGTTGTAGACAGACTTGTAAACACTAACATTAGCAATTACATGAAGAATTGTAAAACAAGGTCTGAAAAAAGAAATGTCTGAGAAAAAACAAAATACACTGATGATATAACAAAAAGCTTTTTGTGGATCAATTCATTCCATCAAGCACTGGAAAATTGGTACATAAACATAAAATGTATAAAACTGAAACTGCATTAGGATGATTCAAAAATGTCCACTTCATGCCCACTGTTTCTATATTTATGTTTAAATAAAACAGAGTATTATATCACCTATATCAACTATCACCCAAAATAGCTTGACTATAATGTTCTTTTTAGCAACATCATATGACCCCTTTAACTTCAACTGTGTTAACAGCTTACAGTAAAGATGAATGAATGAACAGAGGGACAGATAGACACAGATGGATATATTGGCAGACAGACGATGATAAAGGAATGATAAACGGAAGAATGTTCATTTCCGTTTCGGTTATTTTTCCTAACCGACAACCGACGCTCGTTAACCGATTATTAACCGTTAACCTCTGAATGAAATAATAAAATGCGACTTAGGGGTCAACTTTCTTATATGCGTAGCGTATTTCAACCATGCAGCAAACCTTTTTAAATATTTTGATAAATTACTAAAAATAATAATAATAATAATAAATAAACGACTTTTTAAACCATTTAACTGATTGTATTAATCGGTCAAAATTCTTCACAGTCAGTTAACGGTTAACCGGTTAAAATGAACATCCCTACAGAAGACAGATAGACAGAGATAGACACAGACAGAGACCAATAGATAGAACAGACAGACAGACAGACAGATAGACAGATAGATAGATAGATAGTGTGTTTCAATGTGTCACAGCAGAGTGACTAAATCGCGCTATGAGACGGTGACCGCATGGCATGACTGTATCGTGCCTTTGGGCATTACACTGCTGATATAAAATGCCAACGTCAAGCTGAGAAGTGAAAAAAAAAAAAGTTCACTACATCAGTTACATAGGGGTAATGATCCCAAACCATATGAGACACGACTAATGTAACTATAACAACCTCATTCTAATGGACCGCTGATGTGCTGTCTCCATCTGCTTAGCCATGCGAGACAAGACTACATATAAAAGCAGTCTGCCAGGGCCGTACGTCTCCGCATGGGAAAATGCCCATTTGTGCTGACTTATCTATTAGAAAAACAAAAGCACTCGGTTGGTGAGCGTATCACTGGGATGGGGCTGCTATGGCTAGAAGTCAAAGAAAATTGAAGCAGAATTCAAAA